ATTAAGTATTTTCTATTTAAATCGTAACCTTTGAAAATCTATTTATATTTTTAGCACTTATACGGTAAGATGTTTGACCGTAGAAACTTTGGACCATAAGTAAATTTGGGATTTCCGTATATATAAGTGGATTGATTGAAAAAATGATGAGCAGACAATTAAAAGATGAATAATCTATGATTTTTTTATCTTTCCTCTAACGTTTGCACGCACACGCGCAGAAAAGCCATATTTACTATATTATTATTATTATATCGATCGACGTAGATGTGGGAGGAGATACTTTGCAAGGCTATTTATTACATGGCTTATGTCCATAATACCATTGTATGATAATCATAAATTATTATTTTTAATGAAACATCGTTGTATATGAAATGGTAATTAATTCACTCGCGTTTAATTTTCAACGTAGGAACTTTCAATTGGCAGAGCAAATATGCCGAGTGTCGAAAATTTTGACATTACTGCTTCATGAATTAATGTTAATCGTGTAGCCAATTATTGTCCATTTGAAAGCGAAACTCCTAACGGTTTTCTGTGTTAAGTGCCACAAATAGCAGCTCGTATCATCATCACGAATGTTTCGACATTCCAAGGCTCCAGGCTCCATGAGTTTCGGAAATTGATAGAAGATGGACGAGATACGCACATATATGATACCGTAAGCACGACTTTCATTTATAACTTGAAAAAGAAGCGAAGAAAGGAGCGAAACTTTCTTTTTCCGTTGAGCTTCGAATACCGAGTAGCGTTAATGCTCATTATTATATTTGTTCGACACTTTTTCTTATTTTATGCTTATGTCAATTGTAAAATAAAAGATTTTCAATAATTTGAATTTGGAATCCGTGGAATGGAGGATTACTTATTATAATGATTATACATTAAGGAACATGTAAGTCGCGTCAGTGCGATTATCTTCGAATATCTCAATTCCATTGGCTCCGTTTTTATAAAAATTATGGTACATTTTACGCTCGAGATTATCTTCAAAACACCAGCCAAATTATTATTCATGTTTAATAAAATGTTAATTATTTTGGATATAATACACGAATATTTTTTCATCGTTACAATTAATGATTTTATTTTGTTATCTAAAGTTTACAAATCGGAATGCGTTGATAAAGCATTAAAAAAAAAAAAAAAAAAAAAAAAAAAAAAAAAAGTAGAGATTAAATTGCTAACTTTTTTGATTAATTTGTAATGATTTTAGATGTCAGGATAAGCCAATATAGTTCCAGCAGCAATTAATATTTCAAAGCATTTGATTTATATGAAGATTATAGTTCTTTATCAATTGTAAAATATACATACGCAATGGAAGATGGAAATTGAACTTAAATTTGAATATTTTTCATACTTTAAACTGACAAGTACTAAAAAAAAAAAAAAAAAAAAAAAAAAAAAAAAAAAAAAAAAAAAAAAAAAAAAAAAAAAATTTACGAAAATAATAACTGGCTTAGCAGTTAATTTAAAATTCAATTCACTTGCGGAACGAGAAAAAATAACAAAAATACGAATACGCATAGTTAATATAAAAATAATTGTACGTATCGAAGATCACTTGCATATTTATTTCACATTTACGTATACATATTTTAGCAGTAAAAAAAATCTACGTTTTATCTACATATTTATGATTTGTCAATAAAATACATTGAAACTTTTACTAATGAAATTTAATATATAGAAATGTAATTCATTATTATTATTATTAAAATATGTGCATTTAAGTTTACTTATAATAAATTTCATTTATAATCAATAAAAGCCAACAATGGTTCATTATATGTTCACTTATCTAAAAGTTATGTTAATTATATTACATATACCAGAACATTCGAAGTACGTTGATATTTTTATTTATTAATACCATTCCTAACTTTGATATTTTAAAGTATTTTATAGATTTATATAAATATTTATTGATATTCCATAAGCGTTTAAAAATATATAATAAACTAATTATCTTCATATTGTATTTCTACAGTATTTTATCTATTTTACTTGAAATACTCAAATTACCTTTTAAATCAAAGAAAAACTCAAGAAATAGCAACATTTGTTAACAATTTGTTGATAAACAAAGATTTTTTTCTTTATTTTTGATGTACACTTATGTACGAAAATGTATAAATATTAAAATTTTATATTCATTGTATAGATATATATATATATATATATATATATATATATTGTTAATGGTTTAATTTCTCTTAGTATTAAAGATTCTTTTAATATTCATTGTCGTAATGATTTCTTCAAGGTTAAATCTAATATGAACGTATTTAATTTGTCATTCTTTCAACAAAATATAGAAATCATAATTCATAACGATAGAATTACAATCATTTAATAAGATTAAGAAATATGCAATAGATAATACAAGCAGTAATTTGCAACTCACTAATAATTCCTAAAGTTAAATTTTTAAAATATAACTAATTTACATCTATGAAATAAAATACTCTTCTTCAGTCGTATTCTTGAAAAATAATATAAAAATTAAAGTAGACATTTAACAAGACGTATAAGTCAGTTGAAGAGAATATTACCAATTGGAAATTACATTAACTTGTAGATTCGACAGTAGTCATTTCGATAATATGAAAATAAATAATAATTTTTATGTATTAGATATAAAATGCCGTGAAGTGAGGGTAAGTCAGTTAAGTATTCATAGTAAGTCAAAAATATATTGAAGTGCATTCGCACGTGTTTAGCAAAGGAGGACGTCAATTATGCAAAATCGTTAAGCAAGAAGCGGGACAGTAACACGGGAATCTGGTTCTGTTACCAATGATAATACATAAAGTCGAAGCAAGGCCTCGAAAAAATTTCTAGAGCGGCCGTTTTCGAACGTAAATCGAACGCTCGACATTAGCCTTTGAATAAGAAAAGCGTAAAAATAAATCAGAGTCGAGAGTTCCGAGAAATATACTATTGTAATTCGTAGCCGATATGTAAAGAAAGATATGGCTGACGTGTTTGTCGATAGTATCCTGTAAGGTGATTCGCGGGGCAAAAAATCGATTATCGGTGCACATCGGCCATCTCCATCGGTTAATGCCGCCTCCGTGAAAAGAACGCAGATCAAAGTAGCGCGAGAGCGAGTAGGAGAGGAGGGAAAGCGAGACGAGACGTTCCAAGCATATAATAATAATAACAATAACAATAATAGCAATAGCAATGAATTAATAATGGAAGGGATCGAGAGGTGTGTTAAACAAACGATGGATGCAAGATTTTTGAGGAAATAACATTGAAGAAGGTTATTTAAGGAGAGAGATGCCATGGCAATAGACCTTAGCCATAATCGTGTTTGGCATCTCACTCGTGCATTAGTCGTTCGTACATGGATATGGATGGTATTGTTGGGAGAGATCGGCACTGTCCTTTATGGAAAGTGTGGCGCTTATTGGAATGGATCGAGAATGGAGTGGATCGATTAATCGGACGGAGAGTTTATTGATCGACGGGACGGATGATATGAAAGTGCGAGGGGAGTGATAGAATGGGATATAAATCGTCGGTGTATAAATTGTCATTATACAGACGATTGAATGACATCACGAGGATAGTGGCACGAGGGAGAGCTTATTCGGTTCCGAAAAAGAATCGACTAAGTTTTTTGATAAATGTATCGTGCCGTACGTCGTTTGAAGATGTAATGTAAAATATAATTTTCTGGCGTTTTTGAAGTATGCATGTGTGTTTAATGACGCGACGACTCGCTTTATCAATGGAAAAAAAAAATGTATTATCCTCAATTTATGTTATCTGTAAATGAACGTTTATTGTTTAATTTTGCGAAAATATTGTTTTAAAAAAGTTCATAAAGTATTTTATTAATGATTTCGTTAAATTGGTGTATTCAATAGTTGATTAAGCGGAATATGAATGAAACGCTCTTCACATTCTTGAATGTTATTCATGAATTTTTGAATAACAATCCAACAAACCAACCCAACTAACATAAATTGAATTAAATTATTTCTCAAGAACTAGACATGAAATGTTATTATAAACGATCGCATTATTCGCCTTGTCATGCATTCGTCATTCCCATCGGTTAATCAATTTTCCTTCTAATAAATAGGATTGTCGGATACAATTTTATTAAGTCCTTTGATCAGTTGGATACGTATCCTGAAAATTCAAGTGATTGTAACGTGGTGAGTATGGAAATTTAATTTTTTTTTGTCGTAATCATATGATTCGAGTGACGAATTGGAATTTTCAATGAGTATCGAGAGAGATTGAAATAGCGACATACGAATGTATTTATGCATTGCGTAGAGAGGGGGCATGAAAGGGATGTAGCTGTTAGAGAGTGAGAAAGAGTGAGTGAGAGAGAGAGAGAGATGGTGTGTGCGTGTGCGTACGTGCGTGCGTGCGTGTGTCGTGAGAAGGAGAAAGAGAGGGAATGGGTGAGTGGTGAAAAGTGGGATTTAAAAAGTCGACGAGTTGGCCGAGGCTTATCCAAATGACCCCCACCCCCATACATATTGGTTCAATCGGAAAGGCGCGGAGTTCAGTTGTGAGTTGAGACGCGAAACTTCGACGAGGGCTCGTGGCTAGTGTGGTTCGATCGAGGCAATCGTGCGCGAACCCTCGTGAGGATCGTCAAGAACACTCGCACGGTATAGGAAAATATAAGTAGCCAAGATCTTGACTGGAGGTGGACATTGAGGAACAAGGACCTGGCAAGGAGAACAACTGTCAGGAGGAAAGTGAAATTTCGCATTGGAAACCACGCGCACGCACAATATCCTGATATACCCAACATACATTCCCCGCGTACTTACGTATATATTTATATCTATACAAATTTTTGTATGCACTTGAGCGCATGCATGCATAAATATCCGTCTGTGTTTAGATAGAGAAAGAGAAATAAAGAGAGAGAGAGAGAGAGAGAGAGAGAGAGAGAGAGAGTGCGCGTGAGCGAGTGACAGAGCGAGAAGGAGAGGGAGAGAGAGAGAGAGAGAGAGAGAGCGTGTGTATGTCGTGTTTGTGTCGATTCTCCGGGTCAACCGAAAAAAAGGTGAGTGTGCGTCAAGAGAGTAGAGAGGCTCTCTCACCTAGTGACCGTGATTTTCACTCAACTGCGGACGGAGGGAGAGAGTTTCACTTCTAACCTCAATACGAACGTCCGCGCGCGCGTGTGCCGCTCCGTTCCGGCTTCGCCTTTAGCCGTCGCTGTTTGTATAACGACCAGACGAAGACGACACGTTATTTTCTATTTTTTTTCAAGAGAAACATTCGAACGACTCCTTTTCCAGCGTCCTGTCCTCGCTCTCTCGTCGTGACATTACGTAAATTCACGCCGGAGCCTCGTTGTTTTTTCTCTCCCTTTTCACTTTATTTCACTGCTTACTTTAGGACAATGATGTAACAAGCTTTATCGGTATTATAAAGTTTGTTTTTTTTTTTTTTTTTTAAGGAAAATTACGCGCTCTTTGAAGGGAGATTAGTACTCGGTATTATCAATATTAACTATCTTTTTGTGTAATCATGTGGCCTAAGGATGTGGGTATCAAGGCAATGGAAGTTTATTTCCCAGCCCAGTATGTGGAACAGACAGAGTTGGAGAAGTTTGATGGAGTGTCAGCGGGGAAGTATACGGTTGGTCTTGGACAATCCAGGATGGGCTTCTGCAATGATAGAGAAGATATAAATTCATTGTGTTTGACAGTCGTGCATCGATTGCTGGATAGATATAGTATTAAGCCGGAGGACGTTGGAAGACTGGAAGTTGGCACTGAGACCATACTGGATAAAAGTAAATCGGTTAAATCCTGCTTGATGCAGCTGTTCGAGCCATCGGGTAATACAGATTTGGAGGGCATCGATACAACCAATGCTTGCTACGGAGGGACCGCTGCTTTATTCAATGCCATTTCCTGGATAGAAAGTAGCGCCTGGGATGGACGACTGGCCATTGTAGTCGCGGCTGATAATGCTGTTTACGCGAGTGGTACCGCTAGGCCTACGGGAGGTGCAGGAGCCATCGCTATGCTGGTAGGTCCCGATGCACCTCTGATTTTCGATCGTGGACTTCGTGCATCCTGTATGAGACACGCCTATGATTTTTATAAGCCAGATTTGCGCTCCGAGTATCCTGTCGTTGATGGGAAGCTTTCGATTCAGTGTTATCTCAGTTCTTTAGATACCTGTTATCAAAGGTATTGTGAGAAAGTAAGGGCTAAACAGGCTGATCATAATGTAACACTGAGCGATTTTGACGCAGTTCTTTTCCATTCGCCGTACTGTAAACTTGTTCAAAAATCATTTGCTAGATTAACATTAGTTGATTTTTTGAATTCATCAAAAAGTAAGTCTTTTGAGAATCACGTGGATTTACAAAAATACAGCAACGTCACATTGGAGGATACTTACTTTGATCGTGATGTAGAAAAGGCATTTATGATATTAAGTAAAGATGACTTTGAGAAAAAAACTAAACCTAGTTTGTACATAGCTAATCAAGTAGGAAATATGTACACACCGTCCGTGTATTCTGGACTAATGTCACTTTTAATCGATAAGCCAATCGAGGCTTTAGCTGGAAATAAAGTTGGAATATTTTCTTATGGGTCTGGTCTTGCATCTAGTATGTATTCATTGACAATAACTAAAAACGTATCCGAAGATTCGCCGCTAATGAGATTAGTCTCAAATCTCTCTTACGTCAAGTCTCAATTGGAAACAAGACAGCAAGTAAATCCCGAAGATTATACTAAAATATTAGAATTAAGAGAAAAGAATTGCCACACTATACCGTTTGAGCCTCAAAGCAGTATTGATAATATGTTCCCAGGAACCTATTATCTTGTAAAAATTGATGAAATGTACAGAAGAACTTATAGAAGAATACCAAATTTAAAATAATTATATTTTATCAATCGAGGAAAAACGTTAGTGAAAAACGAATTTTTAAAGTAATTTAAAAGCAATTTAAAAATTTATAAGAAAATTTTTTTTACACCTATTATCGATGTATCTGATACGATAATAAATAATTTAAAAAAATGTTAATAACTACAACTTTTCACGCATAATATTTGCATGTAAGTAAAATTTTAATGGATGCTTATTATAATTATAGGATGTTTATTTATAATTATTATCCATTGTTTCGGTTAGTTAGTAAGTTTGAAACGTCAATTTCATAACGTCAATTTCATTCAAATATCTTGATAAATTATGATTAAGAAGTCACGGGGGAATTGGGGCACATCAAAAAATTATTTATTACACAGAACCAATAAGAATAAATAATAAGATTTTTTCAATTTAATTACTAAATCGTGCATTTTGTCTCGAATATTACTTTATTTTATTTTCACAAACGTTTTTTCTTAGATATAGTCAAATACTTAGTTGAATGTATATTATTACCTCTTTGTAAACAAATTTCTTTTTTCAAAGAGCCAAGCCCATTGAAGAAGAATAAACTTGTTTATTTATAATTGTCAATTTTGTACGCGAAATGTTTGTAACTAAATAGATAGGATAACTATATTTAAAGTTTTATAAGCTTACTGAGCATGAAATGAAATTAAGCATTTTTAAAGTGCCTTTAGAGTCAATATTTGATATAATACGGACAAATTCTAAATGAAATTGAACCAAGGTGAAAGAAGATGATGATTGTTACCATTATTGTAAATTTATAATGATTATGCAAATGATTATGAAAATTTTATGTTTATTCATAATGGCAATTTTTATACCATTATTTTTATTCTTTCACCCTTTACATGTTTATTTATATTTTTATGTTATAATGTGAAATGTTTTATTTGATTATTTATTTATAATGACAAGAATGTTTAATTTATCAACCAATGAAAAGTTTCTTTATTTTTGCAATTACCAATGTATAAATACTATGTTAATTAATTGCATACATTAGTAATTATTTGTTTATTTACATTGTCAAAAAGCAATAAGAAATTGTACAAAAAAATTATTCAATCGATAAGAGCGATATCGACATATTTATATATATATATATATATATATATATATACATATATATATATATACTTTGTATTTAAAAAGTTTGGTGAAGGTTTCTTAAAATTATTACTTTTAGTTACACATAAAATCCGAAATTATTAAATAAATATTATTTCTTGTTATGCTTGTTTTATATTTATTTTCTCCATACTTTCATTCTCTCTAAGTAATCTGTGATAACGATAGTTAAACTTAAAATGTATCAGGCTAACTTATAACTATTTTTATATTTGTACGAATAAATAAAACGTATTCTAAGTTAGTAATTTCAATTTCGAATTTTATTTGCATTATAACTCATTAAAGTACAATATCACAAATACCTAAGCATTAATTGACTACTTTTTTTTTTCATTTTTTGTTCTATAGTAACAAATGACTTTTAATACAATAATATCGAAAGTCTCGTAAATTGCTTTTTATACATAAATAAAGTAACAATTAACAAAATTTGGTTTCACATCAACATCCCTAAAGAATAATTACAAAAGCTTCTTAAAACATAGAATAGAGAAATAGTTTAAAAAAATAGTCTTAGTTTTGTTGTAATTACTTTCAGAACACTGGGTAAACATTATAAATTTTTAAAAAAATCTCATAGAATCATACTAATAGTGATTATGTGACTACTTAGTAGTCGTATGCAAATACAAACACTAATAACAATATATAAATTTGAATTCATAAAACGCTTAAAGCTTAATAATGTATATAATTATCTATAAAAGTCTTGTACCTATCGTTGCAAAGTGCTTAAAGAAATTATAATTTGTTAAAATTCTTCGATCCAGTGAAAACGATAATTATACATTATTTTTTATAAGGCTATTATTACTACAGGCTTCAAGGCAGTTGTAATTAGTTTGTAAAAGACGCATATTTTTGACTGGTAATTATGCATTGTGAAGCATATTGTTGTATCGTTATACGTGCATCAATACACTATAGGATTAAAAGAATTAAGTTTGAAGTAGATTTATATATTTATCTTTAAATAGAATTATGCAGTGGCACTGCTTAGTTCAAGTAATAAGAAGGCACTGAGTATCCTAATTAGATCAGGTCACTAAGGTAAAGTTTTGAGATTTTTTTTCGTCAAATCTCTTATAAATATTTTCTAAAATATACTTGATTATTTCATCTAAATGTGCTCCTCTTATATAAGTGACTAAAGCTTTATGTTTTCTACCGTTAGGGCACTTTTGTTTTTTGTCTATTATGTAATAATTTAATCAAACGTTTCAGGCAAATTAAGTAATTTTCAATTAAAGTAAAAAATACATTACCCCGCTCCTTCATTGCGCATTAATCATTATAGTAAATTGTTGTTCAAATTAAAGTTGACCGACTTTTCACCTGTAATTTGACTGATATTGGCTATTATTTAAGTAATATTTTGATCGAGCTTCCTTTCACAATTCATTCGGTCGTTTGTCAATTCAACTTCCGCTATACTACATCGTTAAATTATCTTCAAAACTAAGTATTATTACAAGATTCCATAAAATACGTTGTTGTTAATGACGAAGAGCAGCGAATTTCTTAACTCACGACAGTTTATAAGAACACATTGAGCAAGTGGAAAGATTACGTCCATTGCCCAATTTTACAGTTCCACTTTCATCTGTATTGATTTGACGATTTTCATGGCGTCTCTAATATGCAAATAAAACATAAATATCAAATTATTCATAAAATTAAATCTTAATGCGTTGTACATTTTTATGTTTCATTCAAATATGTAACTTGAAACGCTATATAAACGTGACTTTTGTCAACAGAATATTCTCATCGATAAAATTCAAATAATTAATTTATAGTACATTGATGTACCTTCAATTCGGAGGCTAAACAGAAGAATATAGAATCGATATTAGTATTCTCTTTTGCCGATGTTTCCACATTGCGAAAGACTTCAGGAAGATATTCGCAAACAGTTTCGGCTTCGGAACTCTTAACTTCTCTCGCCTCCTCCAAGTCACACTTGTTACCTATACAATAGAAATTCATTTATTAAGTGTCTTTGAGTTAACGGACTCGCGGCGCTAGATGTATTTCAATAAAAGACTTGCCTACTAAAATTAACAATACATGAGAGGAAGTATACCTTCGAATCTCATCTATCCACCTTTGTAAGCTTAGAAAAGTCGAACGCTTTGTGATATCGTAAACTGTAAATTGAAAATAGCTGTATAAATTATACGAACGGACTTTGAACATTCGTAATTATTCAAAGACAAATACCACTTTTCATTCCTGTCGCAATAACTCACCTAATATTACACCATTAGCCGACCTGTAGTAACTTTGCGTTATCGTGCGAAATCTTTCCTGGCCAGCCGTGTCCCAAATTTGCAACTACAAATAAAACGACGGTATTAATAAGCGTCCGCTATCTTAGCTGCGAGCTCATGCCCCATCATGGACAAGAATCGCGATCCAGAGGATCCAGAAGCTACAATATATAACATAACTGCGGGAGCAACAACAAAGCGGGCCATCTAACCTCCAAGCACTCGTTGCTCGCGAAAAGACCCTCGGTACAACGTACCTTCACGCGTTTACCATCAACGAGGACGGTTTTCATGGAAAAGTCAACGCCAATGGTGAAGCCATGCCTCTGTATAAAATTGCCGGATCGGAACTTCTGAACGATGCAGGTCTTGCCCGTCCCACAATCGCCAATCAGCACGATCTTAAAGAGATAATCGAAGCCGTCGTCACTGCTCGCGGCTCCCATAAGATTCTCCGGCCCAGACGACGACATAGTCGTACTCCTCGCTCGACAACGCCGACCTCACCACCACTTGGCCAGCGCACCTACTCGCTCTCGTTCCGGATGCTGCCCTGATCTCAGCGCGAGCGCGCCTCAACTACGCGCCATTTTTTTTTCTTCTCCCTGCTTCGCACGTAGCCGCGCAGCCCGAGGGCACGGCGACATGTCCAATCGAGATTACCAGCCCCCGTCTCGATATCATCCAACGACTGTCCGACTCCGCGGGCGTGGCTTATTCGCGTCCCCCGGTGCCGTTCAGAGAACGACGACGCGGCCTCGACTCGCTCCGGCCCCCCCTCCCCCCCCCTGCGCTCCACC